TTTTATTTACTTAACTTATTTTTGTTTTACTTTAAGTTCTGGGATACATGTGCTGAATGTGCAGGTTTGTTACATAGGTACACATGTGCCATGGTGGTTTGCTGCATCATCTAAGTTTTACGCCCTGCATGCATTAGGTGTTTGTCCTAATGCTCTCCCTCCCCTTGCTCTCCACTCCCAACAGGCCCCGGGGTGTGCGATGGTCCCCCCCTCCCTGTGTCCATGTGTTCTCATTGTTCAACTCCCACTTATGAGTGAGAACATGTGGTGTTTGGTTTTCTGTTCCTGTGTTAGTTTGCTGAGAATGATGGTTTTCAGCTTCATCCATGTCCCTGCAAAGGACATGAACTCAGTTCTTTTTATGGCTGCATAGTATTCTGTGGTATATATGTGCCACATTTCTTTATCTGGTCTATCATTGATGGACATCTGGCTTGGCTCCAAGTCTTTGCTATTGTAAATAGTGCTGCAATAAACATATGTGTGCATGTGTCTTTATGGTAGAATGATTATAATCCTTTCGATATATACCCAGTAAGGGGATTGCTGGATTGCTGGGTCAAATGGTATTTCTGGCTCTAGATCCTTGAGGAATTGCCACACTTTCTTCCACAATGGTTGAACTAATTTACACTCCCACCAACAGTATAAAAGCATTCGTATTTCTTCACATCCTCGCCAGCATCTGTTGTTTCCAGACTTTTTAATGATCGCCACTGTAACTGGCGTGAGATGGTATCTCATTGTGGCTTTGATTTGCGTTTCTCTAATGACCAGCGATGATGAGCTTTTTTTCATGTTTGTTGGCTGAATAAATGTCTTGATGGTGAGAAGTTTTTAGTGTATCCAGCATTGCCCAGGAGAGGGAGGTTTCAGATTTGGGGCATGAATATGTTAGTTGAATTTGCTTGTGTAATCTTATTTTGAAAAAGGCCTAGTTCTTCACATGTACCTCAAAACCTAAAATGCAATAAAAAAAAAAAAAAGAAAAAGGCCTACTGAGCTTGCTGCTGCAGCTTAACAGCAACATTCCATTAATATCATCTGACTATCTTAGCTCAGATTCTGTGATTACCAACTTATCAACGGACTTCCTAGTACTCTGATATTGGGAATGGGGGCCTTACCTCACAGACACAAGATTCCAATCAGCATGACATATATAATTCTTTAGGTAATACATACATTGTCATCCAGATTATAGATCATTCTTTTATGAATCACAGGATCTCAATGTTGGAGTATACTTAAAGGACATTTAGTTAACCATCCACGTGCTGCTGGTATTCCCTTTGTAAAAAGCTGACAAGGGGTTATCCCTTTTTCCTTGAGAGTCTCAAGTAATAGGAAACTCATTACCTCTTTACTTCTCTGAACATCTGTGTTGGAAAACTCTGCTTTATATTGGACAAAAAATGTGTTATTTTATTTTTATTTTTTGATGCAGTGTCTTGTTCTGTAACCCAGACTGGATTGCAGTGGCGTGACCTTGGCTTATCACAACCCCCACCTCCTGGGTTGAAGAGATTCAAGTGTCTCAGTCTCCTGAGTAGCTGGGACTAGAGGCGTGCACCACCATGCCCAGCTAATTTTTGTATTTTCAGTAGAGATGGGGTCTTGCCATGTTGGCCAGGCTGGTTTCAAACTCCTGACCTCAGGTGATCTGCCCACCTTGGCCTCCCAAAGTGGTCGGATTACAGGTGTGAGCCACCATGCCTGACCAAAAGAGTGTTACTTTAGAGCCTCCATTCCTTGGTTGACTCCTTGGGTCACATACAAAACAATCTAAATTTTCTTTTAAAAAATGTAGATAAACTCATGTCCCTGATAAACCTCTTTCCAGGCCCAATTCCCTACACTCTTTAAATGCTCCTAAAATAGGATGCTTTCAAATCATTATATTGTCCTGGTCACCCTTCCATGGACAGGCTTTAGTTTTTCTTTTAAGATGTGGTTTTGGTCACGGGCAAGTGTTTTTGTAAAATTTACAAGTGTAAAATATTTTCTGGAGTGTTTCTTACCACTCCAACTTCCCTCTGTCACACTTCCCCTCAGGTCAAGTGATACTGGAGTGGCCATGAGCACTTCTGGAATACAGCTAAAAGGTTGTTGTGTTGGTTGTATAGTTAGTTTGGATTTAGGAGAATATACATTATGTGGTTCACTGACACTTCTATATCTAGTTAACTGATGGATAGCTGCCTTAGTGTAGAAATGGTTTCCAGGAAAACTCCTACTGCCCACTGTGCCAATTTCACTTGGCATTGTGATACTAAATTGCAGGTGTGTTCGGCACCTAATTAAAATGTTATTTTTATGGGTTTTGTGATGTTGAAGAAATTTTTCAGCTTTTAACAATAAATATAAAATGTGCTGTGCATTGAAATATACTCTTATAATGGGAACATTTTATGGCCTATAAATTATACCTCAATAAATCTGTTAAAAATGTGCTATGATTTCTTTTCTATTTTTAATAAATATTTGCTTTTGTGCCTAAAGTAAAATAGAAATATGTAGCAGGATATCTGCAAAACCTACACAAAACATTCTATTTAAGGGTGAAATGGAAGAATCCCCTTTGAGATTAGGAATTATGCAAAGGGATCCGTATTACTACCTTTGTTCAACATTGTACTAGAAGTTCTAGTGAGTTCAGTAAGTGAAGAAGAAGAAATAAAAGTTATAAGAATTAGAAAAAAGAAGGCGGGTGCAGTGGCTCACGCCTGTAATCCCAGCACTTTGGGAGGCTGAGGCGGGTGGATCACTTGAGTTCAGGAGTTCAAGAACAGCCTGGTCAAGAAGGTGAAACCCCGTCTCTACTAAAAATACAAAAATTAGCTGGGCATGGGCAGGCACCTGTAGTCCCAGCTGCTCAGGAGTCTGAGGCAGGAGAATCACTTGAACCTGGGAGGCAGAGGTTGCAGTGAGCAAAGATCACGCCATTGCACTCCAGCCTGGGCAATAACAGTGAAACTCCGTGTCAAAATAAATAAATAAATAGAAACAAAACTGTGTTTAGAGCAAAAAAAGACCATGTTTATAGACAATCTAAGAAAAAATATAGAAATATTATTACAATTAATAAGTGATTTTTGCAATGTTGCTGGGTATAAAAATCAGTAAGTAAAAACAAATTGTATCTTTAACAGCCATCATTAAAAATAAAAATAAAAAAATATAATTTACAACCTCATGAAAACCTATAAAGTTCTTAGAGGCCAGGCGTGGTGGCTCACGCCTATAATCCCAGCACTTTGGGAGGCCGAGGCGGGTGGATCACGAGGTCAAGAGATCGAGACCATCCTGGTCAACATGATGAAACCCCATCTTTACTAAAAACACAAAAATTAGTTGGGCATGGTGGCGCACGCCTGTAGTCCCAGCTACTCAGGAGGCTGAGGCAGGAGAATTGCTTGAACCCAGGAGATGGAGGTTGCGGTGAGCCGAGATCACGCCATTGCACTCCAGCCTGGGTAACGAGCGAAACTCCATCTCAAAAAAAAAAAAAAAAAACTTCTTAGAAGTAAATATGACAAAGGAGATGCAAGAATTTTATTATAAAATTTACATGAAAATGAAAAAGGCCAAGAATAAAAACAAAACGCAGAACCACCCCCAAACAAACAAACAAACAAAAAGCCAAGAATAGCCAAAGAAGAACAAGGTGGCAAAAGTTGTCTTATCAGATGTCAAGACTTAGTCATTAGGGCAGTAGCATGGAATAACTGAATGAAGAGCTCCAGAACAAAATGATGTGTATCTAGACATTTCATATATAATATAACTGACATTTTAGATCATCAAAGAAAGTATATATATATATATATTTTTTTTTTGAGACGGAGTTTCGCTCTTGTTACCCAGGCTGGAGTGCAATGGCGCGATCTCGGCTCACCACAACCTCCGCCTCCCGGGTTCAGGCAATTCTCCTGCCTCAGCCTCCTGAGTAGCTGGGATTACAGGCATGCGCCACCATGCCCAGCTAATGTTTTGTAGTTTTAGTAGAGACGGGGTTTCACCATGTTGACCAGGATGGTCTTGATCTCTTGACCTCGTGATCCACCCGCCTCGGCCTCCCAAAGTGCTGGGATTACAGGCTTGAGCCACCGCGCCCGGCCTAAGAAAGTATATTTTTGAAAGTAGTTTTCAAAAATGGCTGGGCCCAGTGGCTCATTCCTGTAATCCCAGCACTTTGGGAGGCCTATGTGGGTGGATCACATGAGGCCAGGAGTTGAAGACAAGCCTGGCCAACATGGTGAAAACCCATCTCTACTAAAAATATAAAAATTAGCCAGGCACGATGGCGCATGGCTGTAGTCCCACCTACTCGGGTGGCTAAGGCATGAGAATCGCTTGAACCCAGGAGGCGAAGGTTGCAGTGAATGGAGATCATATCACTGTACTCCAGCCTGGGTGACAGAATGAGACCCTGTCTCAAAAAAAAAAGTACTTTTCGAAAGTGATGCTGGAGCAATTCGTTTTCCATATGGAATACTATGCAGCCATAAAAAACAACGAGTTCATGTCCTTTGTAGGGACATGGATGAAACTGGAAACCATCATTCTCAGCAAACTGACACAAGAACAGAAAACCAAACACCACATGTTCTCACTCATAGGCGGGTGTTGAACAAAAAGAACACATGAATACAGGGAAAGGAGCATTACACACTGGGGTCGGTGGCGGGGGTTAAGGGAGGGACAGTGGAGGGAGGGGAGGCTGGGAGTGATAACAGGGAGAAATGCCAGTTGCAGGTGACGGAGGGGGGGCGAGGATGGAGGAAGCAAACCACCTGGCCAAGTATGTACCTATACAACAATCCTGCATGATCAGCACATGTACCCCAGAACCTAGAGTACAATAAAAAAATTATTCTTTAAATTACATATATATATTTTACATACTCTTCCGTGTATATTTCACCATTTTAGAAAAGGAAAAAAAAATTAGTGCCCAGAGCTGAACATACAACTCTGGTTAATCTATCATACTAGAAGACAATCGTCTCCATTCTTCTGCCTGTTTATTTTGAACCAAAGTGTACATTTATACTTGTTAAATTTTCTCTTATTCTATTTGACCCTTCTTTTTACTTGTCCTTCCAGCCAGTCAAGCTCTCCCCAAGGCCATCATCATATATGTCAACCGTGGATCATCCTCCAGGGGAACTGGTATACTAAAGTTTCTGAGCTAGCCAGACTGAGGTCCAAATGGCAGCTGACAGACGTAGCAACACTTTGGAAAGTCCATCTTGAAACAGCTTCCTTACCACACACGCTTCCCTCCCTACTTCTCCTGCAGTAATCTGTTTATAGGCCCAGACTAATTATCTTTTTTTTTTTTATGAGAAACTTTAGCAAATTTCTTATCTAGGAAGGCAGTGCTTCACATTAGGTCATGTGGATAAGATGATGAGAGAGAATATTTTCACCCAAGGAGATTGCTATTTCCTGAAGGGGTAAAAACCCCACAGGGAAAACCCCAGTGGTTCTCATAAGTAGGGCTGGTCTATCTAAGCTGGTAGCACAGTTCCGTCCAGAGAAGGAAAGCAGAATAAACTTATTCATTCCTGGGAGCTCTTGGGGTAGGTGTGCATTTTTCACATCTTAAAGACTCACATACCCTAAGCTGGACAAAGGTCCCATTCCTGAAGGACACCTCCAGAGTCCAGATTGCTGAATCTTCTCTGCTGCCTAGAGGGGCTCCAAACCACCTCTTGACAATGGGAAACTGGGTGGTTAACCACTGGTTTTCAGTTTTGTTTCTGGTAAGTGATTTTTGACTTCCTGCTAATTAGGAAGGATTAAGGAGTTATCATGTTTGTTAATATTTGTAAATTTATTTGAAAGGGAAAGATTCCATGCCAATTATTGGGTTCATCAAGACCAGTTAGTTTAAAGATGCAACTCTAGGTCAGACGAGAGGACAGAGACAAATAATATGCAATTGTTCATATTGTCAAATCACAAGTATTTGGAATTTCAATCTGTTTTCATTTTCTGTCGTCTCCTTTTCTCTTCCATCTCACTTATAACTACTACCATGAGTGCTGATTTCTCTGTATCTTTCCTATACTGCTCCCATCAAGATATCATAAAATCACTGAATGTTTGAGATGAAAGTGATCTTAGAGATCATATGGCCCAGCACTACCCACTAGAAATATAGCAAACCACATAATAATGTAATTCCTGAATTTTCTTTTCTTTTTTTTTTTCCCCTGTGGTATTTCAGGAATTCCTGAATTTTCTAATACCTCCACTGAAAAGGTAAAAAGAAACAGGTGAAGTTAATGTTTAGCAATATAATTCATTTAACCCAACGTATCAACAAATCTTTGCAGTATGACTTCAATATTGAAAATATTAAGATAATTTACGTATTTTTATTTTTACTGAGTCTTTGAAATCTGATGTGTATTTATACGCACAACACATCTCAGTGAGGACTAGCCACATTTCAAGTGCTCAGAAGCCACATGTGGGTAGTGGCTGTGGCATTGCATAGTGCAGATGTAAACCAACTTATTGATTGTACAAAGGAAAATAAAACCTAGATGTCACACAATGAATTGATTGAAGAAGCATCACTCGAACCCAGCTCCTCAATGACATTCAGACCAGAATCCCTTCACCACCCTATGTATGTACAATCGCTTTCTCCTAACACTTGAACACCTCTCTCCACTATCCTTCTTCCGTTTCTGAGCCACAATTGAGCCTGGGGCTCCCTGTGTCCTTTCTCACTTTCCTAGATCTTCATTCATTACTCTCTTTTCTCATGTTTTGCTTCTGGGTTCCATATGCAAAACAGGAGAAAAGAGAAAATGTGATGCTGCTTTTTTCTCCTGGTTCCCTGCCACGCCCCTCTCTCCACGCCCTCCCGCCAGGTGCTCCAGGAAAAATGTGGAGTTTCCCTGGAAGAGTGTTTGTTTTACATTGAACAAAGATGCTTCTTTTGTCAGGTTATCCCATGACATATTTTAAATGCTCAAAATGCTTTATATTGAGTTCCTTTTGCACTATAATGGAAATAACACTAGTTTAGGAGAAAGGGAACCTGGCAAGTACCTTGAATTCTGCTACTAACTGGGTGGTCTTGATCAAATTATTTATACTCTCTGGACTTCAGGTCTTGTGTGTGGGGGGGTGGGGGGTTGGGGGGACTGGGCAGGGGAGGGGAGTAGGGGATTAATACAGTGACTAGATAGAATAAATACAAATATAAGGTGTTTCTAGCTCTAAAATCTATGTTTACCTGCAGTTTTTCCCTGTCTTATTTTTTGCTGGGAGAGTTTACCAGCCATGATGGTGACTCACATTTAATTCTCTAGGTTTGAATTTTCATCCCCCACCAATCCAGCTGGCAAGCTTAGACTTCTCATTATCTCTGACATATACTCCCATGCACTGACTTTTTTAATAAAAAACAAATTACTTAAAAATAGTCTTATTCCTCCTTCTTCCCACGTCTTGTAGTTTACCTTCTTTTTCATTCACAGTGGAGGAAATGACAGCCAAGATGGGGAATGGAATTCCTTACTCCTAGATATCACTGTATTTCACCATTTGCCTTGCCTACAGTTGATGATGGGCTGACAGAGTTATTTGCCCGTGTCTCTTTGTGATCCAGAAATATTTCTGCTCCCTCTCAATAAGTTTCTCTCTTCTGTCTTCCAAATTCTTGAGGTATCTGTGGCTGTTGACTTTCTTTTCTTTCAAAGACATTTCTCTGAAAGACACTCAGCTCTGGAAAAGGGTATTTGAGCAAAGGAGGCAGGAAGAAATTGATTGGTAAAGCCGGTTCCCTAGTGACATAACTCTGTAGCTAGCATTTATTGATCTCTTACTAAGCACCAAGCATTGCATTAATCACTTTACACGCATTATCTGACGTAAGCCTCATAGCATTACCATAAAGTAGGTCCTGTTATTATCCTCATTTTACAGGTGAAGAAATTGAGGTTTAGAAAAGTTAAATCACATGTCTGTCTAAGATTACAGAGCTATTAACTGGTAATGCTACAACTTGACTCCAATATCACACTTTAAATTACTATGCTATAGTACTAAAGGTGTGTGAGTGGTCTAGATCTAGGGAATGTGAATAGGCCATGCCCTGGGCTAAAGGCTCTTTGCCTGTTGTGCTGAGATGGTTCTGACTCATAATGGGTCGAGGGATATATACTAGAGGCATCCCAGTGCCCTGGAGACCCATCGAATTACAGACTAGCATCCCCAAACTTGGGCTAAAGACCAGTTGGTTGGTCCCCAAGGCAATGGGCCGTGAGTTCCAAATTTCACCTTTAGCCAACACAGAGATGGAACTTGGGAAAGGCAAAAGCAGTCTTAAGAGCTCAAACAACTCCAAAGGAACAATAGATTAATCTGAAAAAATACTCACAATCTGAAAACAGGAAAATGTGTGTCAGGGTGTAATTAAAAAGGCAGGCCCATCTGGAATGGTTTAGTTCTTTTCAGATGAGTATTGTTATAGATGCTAAATTTGTTCTTTGTTTCTTCAGATATCCATTTATTCACTTATTGCTATCTTTTAGGTGCAACAGTTTCAATGGTCTAGTCCAAGAATTGGCAAATGTTTCTGTAAAAAGCTAGATAGTACATATTTCAGGCTTTGCAAGCCATATGGTCTCTGTCCTAACTACTCTCCTCCTTCATTGTATCACAAAAACAGCTATAAACAATACAGAAATGAGTAGGAGTGCCTAAGTTCCAATACCACTTTATTTATGGTCACTGAAATTTGAATTTCATATAACTTTCACATGCCACAAAATATTCTTCTTCTTTTGATTTTCTCAACCATTAGAAAATGTGAAAATATAAAATATAAACACCATTATGAACCTGCAGGCTGTTGCAAAACAGGTAATGGGCCACGGGCCTCAGTTTGCTGATTCTGCTCTGGTCTAATGCATGTCTCAAAGTGCTAACTCACTCTGAAAGTCAGTTAGATTCTGGCAGGATTGTACTCACTTAAAATGAAAACAGGTAAACACAAAATAGCCAAAATGGCGACACTATTCCTATCCCTACTATTCCTATTCCTGTCCCGTATTTACTCCTTCCCATACCCAAATTTCACTGTATTCTTTGCATGTTTTATTCTTCCTCTAGGCTGTTTGGTTGGGGCTGAATGTTTTCCTCTTTGTGGATGCTTTCCTGAAATATGAGAAGGCCGACAAGTACTACTACACAAGAGAAATCCTTGGGGTGAGTATCACGATTGTATGGATAAAATCTCTATTTTTTTCTTATCTCTGATTCCAGCTTCTTTGTGACCCAATGCCCTGATATCTTCCAGGGCTAAGGTTGCCAGAAAAAGTACAGAATGCCCAACTGACTTTGAGTTTCAGATAAATGACAAATTATTTTTTGATATAAGTATGTTCCAAATATTGCATGGAACACAGGTATACTAAAATATTGATTTAAAAATATCTGAAGTTCAAATTTAGCTTAACATCCAGTATTTTTTAAAAATTTCCATTATTACATTGTAATATATAAGCATCCTGTATTTTTATTTAATAAATCTGATAACCCCATTTAAGGTACACTCCCAAGACCTAATAAAGGAAACGTTCAATAAAGAAAACTATTAGTCAGTGGTTTTCTTTCTTTTTTTTTTTTTTTAAAGACAGAGTTTCACCATGTTGGCCAGGCTGGTCTTGAACTCCTGACTTCAGGTGATCCACCTGCCTCGGCCTCCCAAAGTGCTGAGATTACAGGCGTGAGCCACCACGCCTGGCCTAGGCAGTGGTTTTCAAACTGGCTTCCAGAAACTCAGGTGTTCCTACAAGGCATGAGGAGAAGGCTAACTGGGTAGTGCTTTTGCTCCTGCCCCTGTTTCAACCAAAGCAGCCTGTATCTATCTATGAACACCTGCTCACACTTTTAAGAAGAATTTACTTTTTTAAAAAGAAGGAAAGTAAAAAAGAAAAAACAAACACAACATGAAAGCCACTACTGTCATGGAAACATATCTCTCTTTCAAATAGGAGGGATACTTAGAAGAGTTTCATGGGTGCTACAGAATTCAAAGCCTGCAGAAAGGATGGCTCAGGTCAAGGTTACAGAATAGAGAAGCTTGGGGAAGTGGCAGATCAAAAACAGAAGAGGGCAGGAGGGAGTGGGTAGGGCACATGGGTGTGGAGGTGACTAGAAGGAAGCATGGAGTTGAGGACAGTTCTCTCACAGGGTGAGGAACCCGGACACTGTCTGGTTAAAAGAGCGTGTTTGACTGCTATTTCTAGTCTATTATGCAATAACAGGTAGGAGATTTTAAATCACTTTCATCTTGACAGTGTTTTTTTTTTTTCAGTAGCTTTCAGTATCCTCCCAATATACATGTTTAAAGACAGCCTGTCCTTTTAAAAAATTTCTTTTTTCTCTCCATAATCAAAGAATCCATGTTGAGATCACAACTAATTTGAATGTTCTGTTCATGGTTTATTTCACCCTGCTGTTTTCCATTTTAAATGTTCATCCTTGATCCTTCTTTAGAAACTTTAACTCCAAAGGAGGTATTAATTTGCTTTAAAAATAGCTTTTTACGGCCGGGCGCGGTGGCTCAAGCCTGTAATCCCAGCACTGTGGGAGGCCGAGGCGGGTGGATCACGAGGTCAAGAGATCGAGACCATCCTGGTTAACATGGTGAAACTCCGTCTCTACTAAAAATACAAAAAAATTAGCTGGGCATGGTGGTGCGTGCCTGTAATCCCAGCTACTCAGGAGGCTGAGGCAGGAGAATTGCCTGAACCCGGGAGGCGGAGGTTGCGGTGAGCCGAGATCGCGCCATTGCACTCCAGCCTGGGTAACAAGAGAGAAACTCCGTCTCAAAAAAAAATAAATAAATAAAATAAATAAATAGCTTTTTACTAAGAGAATGATGCAACAAATGTGACTAGTTATTAGCAGCTTGATTACTTCATTACCCAAATGTCAGCAGCAGAAAAATAAATTATGCTGGTGTCCCGTGGACATTTCATTTTTTAAAAAATTATTTTAAAATTGTTTATATATGTAGGGGGTATAAGTGCAGGTCTCTTTCTTTCCTTCTTTCCTTTCTTTCTTCTTTCTTTCTTTCTCCCCTCCCTTCCTCCCCCCTCCTTCATTCTCCCCTCTCTCCCTCCCTCTCTCTCTGCCTTCCTCCCTCCGTCTCTTCCTTCCTTCCTTCCTCCTTCCTTCCTTCCTTCTTTCTTTTCATTCTCTTTCTTTTGAGACAAGGTCTTTCTCTGTTACCCAGGCTGGTGTGCAGTGGCATGATCATGGCTCACTGCAGCCTCAACTCTCCCAGGCTTAAGCCATCCTCCCACCTCAGCGTCCTGATTAGCTGGGATCACAGGTGTGTGCCATCAAGCCTGGCTAGTTAAACAATTTTTTTTTGTTGAGATAGGGTCTCCCTGTGTTGCTCAGGCTGGTCTCTAAACTCCTGGGCTCAAGTGATATTCCCACCTCGGCCTCCCAAAGGCCGAGTATTACAGGTATGAGCACCGTGCCCAGCCACAAGTGCAAGCTTCTTACATGCATATACTGTGCAGTGATGAAGTCTGGGTTTTTAGTGTACCTAGCACCTGAATAGTGATCATTGTACCCAATGGGTAATTTTTCAACCCTCACTCCCCCCTACCCTCCTACTTTTGTAGTCTCCAATGTCCATTATTCCACTCTGTAGGACATTTTATTTTTTAAAGCCCTATTTTAAAAAATTAATTATCGCCGGGCGCGGTGGCTCAAGCCTGTAATCCCAGCACTTTGGGAGGCCGAGGCGGGTGGATCACGAGGTCAAGAGATCAAGACAATCCTGGTCAACATGGTGAAACCCCGTCTCTACTAAAAATACAAAAAATTAGCTGGGCATGGTGGTGCGTGCCTGTAATCCCAGCTACTCAGGAGGCTGGGGCAGGAGAATTGCCTGAACCCAGGAGGCGGAGGTTGCGGTGAGCCGAGATCGCGCCATTGCACTCCAGCCTGGGTAACAAGAGCAAAACTCCGTCTCAAAAAAAAAAAAAAAAAATTAATTATCAGTAATGTTGCTTTCAATGAGATCAAACCATATATTAGGTTGGTGCAAAAGTTATTGCAGTTTTTGCTATTGAAACTATTTGCAAAAACCACAATTACTTTTGCACCAACCTAATAGAAGTGAAAATGTGAAAATCACCCTCTCGTCCCACTCCCCAGAGAGACACACACACACACACACACACACACACACACACACACCCCACACACACTGACATATGTTCACAAATGTATCAGACACATAGGTTTTGTTTTTGAGGTGGGTACAATTGTTTATTCACTTTTTAATTTTCATATAGTAAAATTTGCTGTTTTTTGGTGTACAGTTCTATGAGTTTTGGTAAACACATATAGTAGGACACACAGTTTTTTTGTTTTAAGCAAAAAAGGGATCACTTTGTATATATTGGCTGGAAATTGCTTACCATATCTCAGATATCTCTTTTTCTTCTTTTTTTTTTTTTTTTTTTTTTGAGATGGTGTCTCACTCTGTTGCCCAGCCTGGAGTGCAGTGGTGCAATCTCAGCTCACTGCAACTTCCGCCTCCCGGGATCAAGTGATTTTCCTGCCTCAGCCTCCCTCATAGCTGGGATTACAGGTGTGTACCACAGGGCCTGGCTAATTTTTTGTATATTTAGTAAAGACGGGGTTTCACCATGTTGGCCAGGCTGGTCTCAAATGTGTGACCTCAAGTGATCCATCTGCTTTGGTCTCCCAAAGTGTTGGGATTATAGGCGTAACTCACTGTACCCAGCCTCAGTTATCTTTTCATGTGAGTACCTAACCAGTGGTGTGCTGAAACCAGCTCATATCAGCTTGCAATGCCAGTTGTGTGCATCTCTTCCCAACTCTGCATTCAGTGGTGTTCAATGACATCAAGTTAGTATCTTGAAATCTGCCATGGTGGGAGTAGTTACATCATCAAAATTGGTGAATGCTGGAAATCGGGAATTTTCCCTCCCCTCAAAAATCAACAAGAGCGAAACTCTGTCTAAAAAAAAAAATTTACCACCACTGCATCACTGCATAGAGCTCTCATTCTTTTAAGAGAATAACAATTCAGGCCTGGTGCAGTCACTCAGGCCTATAATCCCAGCACTTTGGGAGGCCAAGGCAGGTGGATAACCTGAGATTGGGAAGTTCGAGACCAATCTGACCAACATGGAGAAACTCCATCTCTACTAAAAATACAAAATTAGCCAGGTGTGGTGGCACATGCTTGTAATACCAGCTGAGGCTGAGGCAGGAGAATCGCTTGAACCCGCAAGGCCGAGGTTGCAGTGAGCCGAGATCGCCATTGCACTCCAGCTTGGGCAACAAGAGCAAAACAACATCTCGAAAAATAAAAAGAAAAAAGAGAATAACAATTCATTGCATTGATGTACCATAATTTATTTAAACACTCCACAGGTTATTTCTTAAATTCATCCTCACCTTGGGAAAATACAGAGAGCAATTTGATTCTCTATGAAGTAGAGCAGATAAGCAGCAGAGGAAGAAGTTTCAATCCATAGTCAATGATGCATTAATGACAGCAGGAGTTCAATTATAACACCAGTGAGTGTGGATCTAGAGAAATGAACATACATTGGTGTATTTAAATGTGCTGCAATGAGGAAAAAATGTTTTCTCTAAAAAGAATCCATCCTATATAGATAGCCACCACAGAATATGGAACTGTGAAATTATAGTCCTGTATTTTCAATTCACTTGCCAATTTTAGCTTTAAGAAATCTCTGTGATTCAAATAAGCAAGTAGTGGGAACCAATGTGGATATGCAGGATCTCTGAGATGAGCGGAGGAAATTTACTCAGAAATGGAACAGGCTGTCTGTACCAAAAACAGTCGGAGCGTGACTCAGCAGAGGGAGAAAACATAGGTCATGTGGAAAAGCCAGAAATGGAAAACAGTAGGGCAGCTTTTGTTCACCACACTGCCTGACATTCTTAGTAGCCATTGTGGATGCTAGACAGACCTTGTCCTGGCTTACTAAGTTAATGTCAGGCTGTCCTGGGTTTACGATATAAGAAAAATCAATTTTGTGCTTCATAGATAATTAGAAAAAGACTAAGAAATGCTAACCTTAACCTATACCCCTTCTTTTAGAAAGTCTTTGACAGACACACAGTGTAAGGCTGGCCAGTCAGCTGAAGCGCAACAAAAATTTCCTGGCTGCTGCTGCCAGCTCCTCTGCTACTACATTGTCACACTCCATAGCAGTCCCAAGTTCATGTAGTAGACTCAGAAGCCAGTTGTATGGAGTTGAGAAGTCAGATTTAGCTGCCATAGAGTTAAGCTGCCATGGAGTTAATATTCTGTCCAGCTTATACCTAGTAAGACCTGTTTTTCTGGACTAAATACTTCTTTGAAGCATTGATTCCTTGTCTCCTTTGCTAACAGCTTCTACTGCTGGAGCAAGTTGTTCTTGATTTATGCTGCCTGGCCACGCAAGGAAATCAGCTTAAAATTGTGCTTCTCTGAAGTTGTCTCTTCTCAAATATCTACCTGTTTAAAAATTTTACTCTAAGAGGTTTCCTAGTCTTGACTAATTTTGTTCAATTTTTAAAGACATCTTAAATAGAAGTGGTTAAAAATTTTAAGTTTTTATTATACAACTATTATGTGCTTATAACTGCAATATTAGAAAATACAGAAAAGAATAAAATGCCATCCGTAATTATACCTCTAAATATGAGCTTTACTTAAAATGCAAATAAAGGTATATATAATCCTTGGCCAGGCATGCTGTGTCATGTCTGTAATCCCAGCACTTTGGGAGGCCAAGTCAGGTAGATCACTTGAGCTCAGGACTTCCAGACCAGCCTGGGCAACATGGCAAAACCCTATCTTTGCCAAAGATACAAAGATTCACTGGGTATGGTGGTGTGCACCTGTAATCCCAGCTACTCGGGAGGCTGAGGAGGGAGGATGGCTTGAGCCCAGGAGGCAGAGGATGCAGTGTGCCGAGATCTTGCCACTGCACTCCAGCCTGGGCAATAGAGCCAGATCCTTAAGGCTCTTTTAAAAGTGACAAATAATAAAATTATAATTAAGAGTATTAAACAAAATGTTACATCCATAGAATGTATTTACTAACATGTAATCATTAAATCCTATTCTCTTTCATGTTAATAAACGTAGTCAAACATTTCCTAACTACTGTCACGGGAATTTCTCAATTCAATATTAAATTCAGCATATTTTGTGCATTTTGCAAACAGAGCCTGGCCTTATCATGCTAGCTACTGAGAGGGGAGGCAGCTGGAGCCCTGTTCATTTGCAGGCCTCGGATGAGTGGCTGGGTCAGTGGCTCACATGCTAGATGGTGAGATGAAGCAGCTGATGGTCTCCTTTTCTCTTCTACTCCATAGTCAACATTGGCCTGTGCCCGAGCCTCTGCTCTCTGCTTGAATTTTAACAGCATGTTGATCCTGCTTCCCGTGTGTCGCAATCTGCTGTCCTTCCTGAGGGGCACCTGCTCAGTGAGTCCCAACCACTCCTAAGTCAACATTCACATTAGAGAAGGAGAACTGGATTCCTCAGTAGGGACAGCTCAACATCATGCTCCTAGGAAGGGAAGCCAGAGGTCTCCTTCAGTAGCTAAGGGGGTGGGTAAGGGTGGGTGAGTATTGGCATGCTATGTGCAAGACATGTTTGTTATGGGTTAATGAATTTAATAAAGCTGGCTGGAGACATCTGACCATGATCACTTTACATTTGCAGTTTTGCAGCCGCACACTGAGAAAGCAATTGGATCACAATCTCACCTTCCACAAGCTGGTGGCCTATATGATCTGCCTACATACAGGTAACTCAGGCAAGCCCTGAATCCACAGACTCCAGGGCATTCAGAATCTTGCTTCATCCATCCATCCATATGCACATTCAAAAAATATTTATCGAGCACTGGGCACTATTTGTTACGCACTGTTCTTGGCCTATTTTCATGGAACTTATGTTCTATTCTTTTGGGAACAGAGTAAGTATAAAAAAAGATCTTGGATCATTCTGCAATCAAGGGTTTATTGGGCACCTTCTTTACACTCAGCATTCTGCTAAGTGCTATAATGTAGGATTCTTCTAGTCTAGTGGGGCACACCTGCCATGATGTTGCTGAGATGTCTCTTAACATTTCTTTTCATCTTTCCATTTAGCTATTCACATCATTGCACACCTGTTTAACTTTGACCGCTATAGCAGAAGCCGACAGGCCACAGATGGCTCCCTTGCCTCCATTCTCTCCAGCCTATCTCATGATAAGAAAAAGGGGAGTTCTTGGCTAAATCCCATCCAGTCCCCAAACATGGTGAGTTGACTTGCTAGCAAAGCACCTGAGATATGGTCATAAGCAGGAAGTGCACAGGTGGACATTGTGCCAGGTTGACATTTTTCCTTTCACAGACAGTGGAGTATGTGACATTCACCAGCATTGCTGGTCTCACCGGAGTGATCATGACAATAGCCTTGATTCTCATTGTAACTTCAGCTACTGAGTTCATCCGGAAGAGTTATTTTGAGGTCTTTTGGTATACTCACCACCTTTTTATCTTCTATATCCTTGGTTTAGGGATTCACGGCATTGGGTAAGATTTTCAAACCCTCATTCTCATGCCCCAGCCCCCAACCTTGCATAATTCTTTGTTCCAAACCGTCCTTCTTTGTCTATTTCAGTGGAATTGTCCGGGGTCAAACAGAGAAGAGCATGAATGAGAGTCATCCTTGCAAGTGTGCAGAGTCTTTTGAGATGTGGGATGATCATGACTCCCACTGTAGGCGCCCTGACTTTGAAGGGCACCCCCCTGAGGTAAGAGCCCTATGGGCAAGGATAGGAGCTGTTACTGTTATTATTACTTTTATTGTTGTTATCATCATTATTATTAGCTCAGTCCTGTGCTGGGTCTTATGAAGGCTATCTATGGGGTTCCTACCTTTAAGAAACTTCCAGTATCATTGGCAATAGGCAATTAGAAGGGGATCTTGAAGAGAAAAAACTAATAATTCTTGAATGTATGAGACCCTCTGCAAAGGTAATAATGATAACACACATTATTAATTGTGTTTATCATCTTCCAGCCTTGCTGCATAATATGGATTATTTAATTTATATATAGCAATAACCTATGAGATATGTACTTCTTTTTTGCTTAAATTTTGAAACAAAAGGACAGGATTCCAAGAGATTAAGAAAACTGACAAGCTCTTACAGTAAGTAAGTAGTGGAGCTTAAATACAAGCCCAGGCCTTTTGGATTCCGCTCAGCTGTGATATTCCAGTGAAATTCTAGGAAGAGATAAAGCATTCTTGAAGTGGGCTTTCTTTGGTGTTCTAAGAATATGCTTGGAAATTTTTGTTAGATACTGGGCGATTATGAAACTGGGTTCTAGGGAACTCAAGGTGTGCCCCAGGGTAATTATTGTGGGTGTTATGATTTACCTTTGCTTGCCCACAAAATAGGTTATATTGAGGAGTAAATGGAAGGGGAGGGTGATTTGTAGTGCCTCAAAGTGCTCTGAGAATGTTTAAGGTCTTTAAATCAGATTCAGGATTAAGAGCAATAGCTTAGTCCTCATCTAGAACGGGAATATATATATAAAACAAAAAGCCTTCTAAAGTTGGCATCTTAATTCATCAATAAAACGATAGATTAATAATTTTTGGGGCCGGGCATGGTGGCTCACGCCTGTAATCCCAGCACTTTGGGAGGCCAAAGCGGGTGGATCATGAGGTCAAGAGATCGAGCCCATCCTGGTCAACATGGTGAAACCCCATCTCTACTAAAAATACAAAAAATTAGCTGGGCGTGGTGGTGCGTGCCTGTAATCCCAGCTACTCAGGAGGCTGAGGCAGGAGAATCGCCTGAACCCAGGAGACGGAGGTTGTGGTGAGCCGAGATCGCGCCATTGCACTCTAGCCTGGGTAACAAGAGCGAAACTCCGTCTCAAAATAATAATAATAATAATAATAATAATAATAATTTTTGGTACAATAAGATCATCATCTGGAAAAAAAGCTATATCTTCATTTCATGCCTTGCACTCAACTATGGATCAAGGATACAGGGAGCAACAATTTAAATGTAAAATAAACCCATAAAAGCACCTTAAGACCACATGGGAAATTTTTTTCTAATACTAAAGTTGGGGAACATGTTTATAAATAAGCTAAACCACCCTGAAGCCATAAAAGAAGAGATAATTTTGCATGGCACAAGAAATCCCCGTCAGGCTAGGCACGGTGGCTCATACCTGTAATCCCAGCAATTTGAGAGGCTGAGGTGGGTAGATTGCTTGAGCCCAGGAGTTTGAGACCAGCCTGGGCAACATGGCAAAACCCTCATCTCTACAAAAAATACAAAAATTAGCTGGGCATGGTGGCATACACCTGTCGTCCCAGATACTCAGGAGGGTGAGGTGAAAGGATTACTTGAGCCTGGGCGGTTGAGGCTGCAGTGTGCTGTAATCATGCCACTGCACTCCAGCCTGGGTGATGGTGAGATCCTGTCTCAAAAAAAAACTAACAAAAATCCCCATTATAAATAAAGACAGACTGCAAATTACCAAGTAGGAAAAGTATTTACAACTTATAGGCCATGGACTAATTTTTAAATATATAAATAACTCCTAGAAATCAATAAAAAAGTCTAACAACATGATTAAAGGAGATGTAGAAGATATGAACAGAATGATCTCAGAAATGGAGATATATCTTGATGTTAAATATGTGAAATGATGCTTAATGTTATAATGGAAACAATGCCAAATAAAACGACGAGAATCTGTTAACCTAACAGATTAGCAAAGATTAAAAAACCTACTAATGTATGGTATTGGCAAGAGTATAGAGAAATGCTTTTATGCGTTGCTAGTTAGATGTAAACCTATACAACTGCTTGTAGAGAGTGATTTGGCAGGAGCAATTAAGCTTTAAAACCTGACTTCCAATTTATTCCACAAATACACTTGTATATATGTTAAATTACATGCCTTAAGTTATTGATTACAGCAGTGTTTAATAGAAAAAACGTTTGGAAACAAGTTTCCATCAATGGGGCACTAGTTACATTTTGTGACTTTTATACAATGGAATAGTTTGCAACGAGGAAAACGAAAGAGCACCATAGACCCTAATAGGGACCAGTCCCTAAGATGTTAAATGTAAAAAGCAGGGCAGTGTGTATAGTTCCCTATCATTGGCACTGAAAAAATCACTTAAATGCATGTTCTCCAGAAGAATTCACAAAATAATAACATTACCTCTGGGGATCTGGAGGGGCCAGAGCATTTGCTTTTTACTGTATATCCTGTTGTACTTTCAGATTTTGTACCATATACATGTATTACCTATTTAGAAAGTAATTTTATAATAAGATAGACTGCTAGCTACACAAATAAAGAATCGACCACTGGCTACACTAATAAAGAAAAAAAGAGAGAAGATCCAAATACATACAATCAGAAATGACAAATATGATATTTCCACTGACCCCACATAAATAAATAAATTAAAAAAAAACCCTCAGAGACTACTATGAACACATATAGGCACATAGAGGAAATGGATAAATTCCTGGACACATACAACGTCCCAAGATAAGACAACGAAGAAATTTAATCCCTGAGCAGACCAACATTGAGTTTCAAAATTGAATCAGTATAAAAAGCCTACAACCGAAAAAAGGCCCTGGACCAGATAGGTTCACAGCCAAATTTTTCCAGATGTATAAATCTGGTACGATTCCTACTGAAACTATTGCAAAAAATTGAAAAGGAGGGTCTCCTCCCTAACTCACTCTATGAGGCCAGCATCATCCTGATACCAAAATGTGTCAGAGATACCACAAAAAAAGAAAACTTCGGGCCAATATCCTTGAAGATCATTGATGAAAAAATCCTCAACAAAATACTGTCAAATGGAATCCAGCAGCACATCAAAAAGCTAATCCACCACGACCAAGTAGGCTTTATCCCTGGGATGCAAGTAGGGTTCAACATATGCAAGTCAATAAATGTGATTCATCACATAAAGAGAACTAAAGACAAAAACTGTATGATCATCTCAGTAGATGCACAAAAGGCTTTCGATAAAATTCAACACTCCTTCATATGAAAAACTCTCAGCAAACTAGGCATTGCAGGAATATATTTCAAAATAGTAAGAGTCATCTATGGCAAACCCACAGCCAACGTTATGCTGAATGGGCAAAAGCTGGATGCATTCCCCTTGAAAACAGGAACAAGACAAGGTTTCACTCTTTTACCACTCTTATTTAACATTGTGCTGGAAGTTTTGGCCAGAGCATTCAGGCAGGTGAAAGAAATAAAAGGCATCCAAATAGGAAGACAAAAAGTCAAACTATCTCTGTTGGCAGACAACATGATTCTATACCTAGAAAATCCCATAGCCTATGTCCAAAAGCTCCTAGATCTGATAAACAGCTTCAGCAAAGTTTCAGGATACAAAATCAATATACGAAAATCAGTAGCATTGCTATACCCCAAGAACACCCACGCTGAAAGCCAAATCAAGAATGCAATCCCATTCACAATAGTCACAAAAAGAATAAAATACCTAGGAATACAGCAAACCAGGAAGGTGAGAGATCTCTACAATGAGAGTTACAAAACACTGCTCAAAGAAATTAGAGATGACACAAACAAATGGAAAAACATTCCACACTAATGAATAGGAAGAATCAATATTATTAAAATGGGCATACTGCCCAAAGCAATTTACAGATTCAATACTATTCCTACCAAACTACCAATGACATTCTTCACATAATTAGAAAAAAATATTTAAAAATGCACACTGAACCAAAAAAAGAGCCCAAATATCCCAGGCAATCCTAAGCAAAAAGAACAAAGCTGGAGGCATCACGTTACCCAATTTCAAACTATACTACAAGGCTACAGCAACCAAAACAGCATGGCACTGGTATAAAAACAGACACACAGACCAATGGAACAGAATAGAGAGCCCGGAAATAATGTCACATACCCTTGACCATCTGATCTTTAACAAAGTCAACAAAAATAAGCAATGGGGAAAGGACTCCCTATTCAATAGATGGTGCTGAGATAACTGGCTAGCCACATGAAGAAGATTGAAACTGGACTCCTTCCTTACACCATATACAAAAACCAGCTCAAAATGGATTAAAGACTATAAAACATAAACCCCAAACTATAAAAACCGTGGAAGACAACATAGGCAATACCATTCAGGACATAGGCCCTGGCAAAGATTTCATGATGAAGATGCCAAAAGCAAATACAACAAAAATGAAAATTGATTAATGGGATCTAATTAAACTAAAGCACTTCTGCACAGCAAAAGCAACTACCAACAGAGTAAACAACCTACAGAATGGGAGTAAATATTTACAAACTACATATCTGACAAAGGTCTAATATCGGCCGGGCGTAGTGGCTCACGCCTGTAATCCAAGCACTTTGGATGCCAAGGCGGGCGGATCACCTGAGGTCGGGAGTTCAAGACCAGCCTGACCAACATGGTGAAACCCCGTGTTTAAAAAAAAAAAAAAAAAGTCTAATATCTAGCATCTATAAGGAACCTAAACAAATTAACAAACAAAAACCAAACAATCCCATAACAAAGTGGGTAAAGTCTCCAAAAAAAAAGTGGGCAAAAGTCATAAAGAAACAGTTTTCCAAAGAAGACACACACAGCCAACAAACATGAAAAAATGTTCAATGTCACTGATCATTAGAGACATGCAAATCCAAACCACAATGAGACACCACCTCACACCAGCCAGAATGGCTATTGTTAAAAAGTCAAAAAATAACAGATGCTGGTGAGGTTGCAGGGAAAAGGGAACACTTATATAGTGCTGGTGGAAATGTAAATTAGTTCAGCCATTGTGGAAAGCAGTGTGATAATTCCTCAAAGAACTGAAAACAGATTACCATTTGACCCAGCAATCCCATTACTGAGTATATACCCAAAGGAATATAATCATTCTATGACAAAGACACATGCACTTGTGTGTTCATTGCAGCACTATTCACAATTGCAAAGACATGGAGTCCACCTAAATGCTCATCAATGGTAGACTGGATAAAGAAAATATGGAACATATACACCATGGAATACAATGCAGTCATAAAAAACAATGCGATTATGTCCTTTGCAGCAAAATAGATGGAGCTGGAGGCCATTATCCTAAGCAGACTAATGTAGAAACAGAAAAACAAATACCACTTGTTCTCATTTATAAGTGAGAGCTAAACATTGAGTATATCTGGACACAAAGGAGGAAATAACACACACCAGGGCCTACTTGAGAGTGGAGAAAGGGAGGAGTGAGAGGATCAAAAAACTATCTAATGGGTACTATGCTTATTACCTGGGTGATGAAATTATCTGTTCACCAAACCCCTATGACATGCAGTTTACCTCTATAACAAACCTGTGCATGTACCTCTGAACCTAAAATAGAAGTTAAAAAAAAAAGTAATTTTGTGTGAGGCATAGTGTCTCATGCCTGCAGTCTCAGCACTTTGGGAGGCTGAGGCAGGAGGATTGCTTGAGTCCAATAGTTCAAGACCAATCTCGGCAACATAGGAAGACCTTGTCTCTACAGAATATTAAAAAATTAGCTGGGCATGGTGGTGCATGCCTGTGGTTCCAGCTATACGGGAGGCTGAGATGGGAGGATCACTTGAGCCCAGGAGGTTGAGGCTGCAGTGAGCTGTGATGGTACCATTGCACTCCAGCCTGGTTGACAGAGAAAGATCTTGTCTCAAAAAAAAAAAAGAAAAGTAATTTTGAAAAGACTTACGTGGAATATGTTAATAGCACATTTCATTTCTAAAGTGAGGGGAAATTGTAAGATCATAACCAGGGACCTGTATTAGGATAGGGAGCTATTTAAGGCTTATTAGCAAAGCTTACTAGCTAAGATGGTTAATACCTTGTCTTACCTGGCACATCAGCTTCTGTCTTTTTCTTATCTATAACCTGAGTTAGGTTATATTTGGCCTATTTGGTATCCTTAAAATTTAGGGTTTGCTTTGGTTGGTCGTGTAATACTCTAAGAGAGAGAACACCAGTTTTGCCACCTGGATGTATTGCTTTGATTCTTCCATAAACATTTATTTATTTATTTGAGACAGAGTCTTGCTCTGTCACCCAGGCTGGAGTGCAATAGTGTAATCTGTGTTCAACACAACCTACACCTCCTGGGTTCCAGCGATTCTCCTGCCTCAGCCTCCAGAATAGCTGGGATTACAGGCACGCGCCACCACGCCCAGCTAATTTTTTGTATTTTTAGTAGAGATGGGGTTTCACCGTGTTGGCCAGGCTGGTCTTGAACTCCTGACCTCGTGATCCACCCACCTCGGCCTCCCAAAGTGCTGGGGTTATAGGCGTGAGCCATCACGCCTGGCCCCATAAACATTTAAAAAATACTCTCTCCATATTCACCCCATTTAAAAATTAGAAAAATAATACACATTTATTGTAGAAAGTTTGGAAAATACAAAAATATTTTAGAAGTAAATAAAAAATTTCATAGAGTTCTACCACCTAGAGGAAATGATATTTTCCTTGATTGATATCATGGATGTTTTCCTCTGTTGTCAAATATTCTTTTGAAACTTTTTTTTTTTTTTTTTTTTTGAGACAGAATCTCACTCTGCTACCCAGGCTGGAGTGCAGTGGCGTGATCTTGGCTCACTACAACCTCCACCTCCCGGGTTCAGGTGATTCTCCTGCCTCAGCTTCCTGAGTATCTGCGACTACAGGCATGCGCCACCACACCGAGCTAATTTTTGGATTTTTAGTAGAGACAGGGTTTTGCCATGTTGGCCAGACTGGTCTCCAGCTCCTGACCTCAGGTGATCTGGCTGCCTCAGCCTCCCAAAATGCTGGGATTACAGGCGTGAGCCATCACGCCCAGCCTTGAAACATTTGTTTTAAAATAGTTGGCCAGGTGTGGTGGCTCATGCCTGTAATTCCAGTACTTTGGGAGGCTGAGACAGATAGCTCACTTGAGGCCAGCAGTTCCAGACCAGCCTGGCCAGCAAGGTGAAACCCCATCTCTACTGAAAATACAAAAATTAGTTGGGTGTGGTGGTGCATGCCTGTAGATTTAGCTACTTGGGAGGCTGAGGCAGGAGAATTGCTTGAACCCAGGAGGCGGAGGTTGCAGTGAGCCAAGATTACATCACTGCATGGAGTGAGAGACCGTCTCAAAACAAAAACAAAAACAAAAAACCTGTATGATATACACCATTTTAATCATGTTTTAAAGTAAACATTGTGGCCATTACTTTACTCATGTATAATACTTTTTCACACCTTAATTATTTATCTTCATTTCCTAGAAGTGAAGTTTCAGGGTTAAAGAGAAGGAATGCGTTTGAGACTATTGAGATGTACTGCTAAATTGCTCTCCGGGAAGATGTTGCCAATTTGGATTTTCACCCATGTGAAATGCATGTTCAATTTTCATGTTCAATTTGTATGCCCATGTGCACATGCCCATTTCTCTGACTCCTAGTTAATGCTGGACATTATTACTTAAAATTGTTTTTCAATTTGAGAGACTAAAATGGTATCTTGTTTTAATATTTATTACTCTGACTACTTCCAAAGCCAATATTTTTTTCACATTGTTATTACCCGTCTCTTAAATATGTTTTTCCCCAAATTCAGCTGGGGAATTTTTTTTCAAATAAGAAATAGCACTGAATTGCATAATGTTCACTCTGTTTCACTTGTCACATCTCTGCCTTTTCCTTCCCTAGAGATACTCAAGGAAGTTATTTGCCTGCATCAACTTAAGAAACCTCACTTCACACAGTCCCAAGGTTATCACACTTGAGCAACTGTGCAAGAAAGGACATGATTTAGCATTGATAGGAAGTACATTTTTAGTAGCTCCCGAGCATGCAGAAGCAAACTGCTGCTTTGCAAAGCTCTCAGGGATAGAAAGGCTGCTTTAAAAAAAAATTGTTCTTTGAGACAGAGTCTCACTCTGTCACCCAGGCTGGGGTGGAGTGGCATGACCTTGACTCACTGCAACCTCCTGGGTTCAAGTGATTCTCCTTCCTCAGTCTCCTGAGTAGCTGGGACTACAGGCGCCCACCACCACGCCTGGATAATTTTTGTATTTTTAGTAGAGATGGTGTTTCAACACGTTGGCCAGGCTGGTCTTGAACTCTTGATCTCAAGTGATCTACTCATCTCTGCTTCCCAAACTGCTGGGATTACAGGTATGAGCCACCGCACCTGGCCGAAAAGCTGCATTTAAAAAAAATGTAGGCAAGGTAAAAAATATTACTAGATTAAATGTTTAAGCACTTGAGAAAGGAGGTGATGGATAAGAACTGAGTTTTATGTACCCAAAAGCATCAGCTTTCCCTTTTTTTGTGTTTGTTTTTGATTATCTGTTTCTATTTTCACATCGACTTTCTCTGTTGGTTTTTTAGATTGGACAAGTTGTCCTTGAAGATAGTCTTAGATTTTTAAATTAAATCTTATTTTATTTTATTTTTTTGCAGACAGTCTTGCTCTGTTGCCCAGGCTGGAGTGCAGTGGTGTGATCTCAGCTCACTGCAACTTCTACCGCCTCCTGGGTTCAAGCGATTCTTATGCCTCAGCCTCCCATGTAGCTGGAATTACAGGCACGCACCACCATGCCCAGCTAATTTTTTGTATTTTTAGTAGAGACAGGCTTTTGCTATGTTGCCCTGGCTGGGTCTCCGAGAGATCAGGCAATCTGCCCACCTCGGCCTCCTAAAGTGCTAGGATGACCCACTGTGCCAGGACTTAAAATTAAATTTTGTATGTAATTTGAGAACATGAGTATTTACCATGTGTTCTATTTCTGTGCTTTTCTCTTGCTTTTGGTCAGACTTGTAAATTTTCAGGAAATGATCTGTTTTATGAATAACAGATTAACAAACAAAACCATTGTCATTTATTTTTTCTATTTCCATCTTCCAGATTTGATGAAATTAGTGACTTAAAAATGATACACATTGGAGAACTCAGTAAATACTGAATGAAGGATGAACTGCTACACAAATAAATCCTAAACAAGAAATTAAAGTGTAATCTCATTCTGTACCCTGTCTCTGCAGTCTTGGAAGTGGATCCTTGCACCAGTCATTCTTTATATCTGTGAAAGAATCCTCCGGTTTTATCGCTCCCAGCAGAAGGTTGTGATTACCAAGGTAAAGAATATGCACCTTGCAGCCCGGCACGGTGGCTCATGCCTGTCATCCCGGCACTTTGGGAGGCCGAGGCAGGTGAATCACGAGGTCAAGAGATTAAAACCATCCTGACCAACATGGTAAAACCCTGTCTCTACTAAAAATACAAACATTATCTGGGCGTGGTGGCACGCGCCTGTAGTCCCAGCTACCAAGAAGGCTGAGGCAGGAGAATTGCTTGAACCTGGGAGGCAGAGGTTGCAGGGAACCAATATCACACCATTGCACTCCAGCCTGGCAACAGAGCGAGACTCTGTCTC